GTTAGATCCCTGCTTACTTTGCCTTTATATTGATTTATAAAAGTCAGGATTGAGGAAGAGAGACTCCACCTCCCCTATAGCAGCTTGGGCCAAAGGGCCACCAAGTCAGGGGTCTTGACTCCCACAATGGCCAATGCCAACTGCTTCAGAGGAAGGTTGAAAAAGCCCCTGAGACTGGCCAATTGTGCCAGGCTGACCACAGGGAGAGGTTCCCCCCTGTTATTTTGTCTGCCTCTTCATGGCATGGCTGCCTAGGTGGGTTGAGCAAATTCTTTCATGTCCCCTTGTGGAGAGAGGTTAATGCCCTGGAGCATGAGACTAGATTAGCCTTGCTTTAGCACTTCCTCTGTCTAAGAGAAATAGCTCTTATGCCGGCCTTTATCCCAAAGGCCATTCAAAGAAATTGCACCTGATTGTAGAAGGGAGCTCTTACCTGCTTTAATGATTTCCACAATTTCCATAAAGTAGTAGTCAGAACTGCCCACTTCTTCACTTCTAACAAGCCTGGTTTTATATACTTAAAAAAAAGGAAGACATACAAAACACCAGTTGAAGGTCTGCAGTATTTTTCTGTAGAGAATTCAGTGTGTAACTGACTCCCCAAACTGGCTGTGAGAAAGATGGTGCCATGCTCCATAGCTTGGCAATAGCTTGAGACCTGGGTTCATTTCTCTCCTCCACCACAGACTTGCTGCATGACCTTGGGCAAGTCACTTAGTCGCTCCATGCCTCAGTTTCCCCTTTTGTACAATGGAGATAATTGCACTGCCATGCCTCCCAGGAAGTTGTGAGGATAAACACGTTAAAGATTGTGAAGTGCTCAGATACTAGGGAAATGGGGGCAGGGGCGGCGAGTTATATACACTCATAGTGCCTGGGCTCCAGCAATATTCAGGGCCCAGGGGCCCGGCTCCACCAATGTTTGGGCCCAGCCCGCCCCCCCCCCCCGGGTTTCCTCTGGCCCCCACTTGCTGCCCCATCTCACCTCCCCCGGGCCCCAGAGCCTGCAGCTTATGCTGACTCTGCCCGCTCCTGGCATCAACTGCTGCCACAGGGTCCTAGTGCCCTCCATCCACTATTGGCAGGGCAGGCTGCCCTTACCCTGCCCTTCCACCCTAGCCCTGAGCCTCTCCACAGGGGCGGCTCCAGGCACCAACGCAGCAAGCGAGTGCCTGGGGCGGCAAGCCGCGTGGGGCAGCCTGCCGGTCGCTGTGAGGGCGGCAGTCAGGCTGCCTTCGGTGACATGCCTGCGGGAGGTCCGCCGGTCCCGCGGTTTCGGTGGCAATTTGGCGGCGGGGACGCTGAAGGTGCAGCACCAGCGGACCTCCCGCAGGCATGCCGCCGAAAGCCGCCTGGCTGCCGTGCTTGTGGCAGCAAAAACCATAGAGCCACCCCTGCCTCTCCAACACCCCAAACCCCTCAACCCCAGCCCTCATTCCCCCACACCCTAATCCTCTGTCCCAGCCCTGAGCCCCCCCTGCATCATGAACCCCTCATCCTCAGCCCCACAGCCCTCACCCCACACCCCAACCCTTTGCCCTAGCCCTGAGTCCCCTCCCACACCCCAAACCCTTCATCCTCAGCCCCACAGCCCTCACCCCTGCACCCGCTCCTATCCCCAAACTCCCTCCCAGAGCGTGCACCCCCTCCCCCTTCACACACACCTCCTTCTGCCCCCAAACTCCCTCCCTCTGCATCCCCTCCCACCCCCAAACTCCCTCCTAGAGCCTGCACCCCTCACCCCCTCCTGCACCCCCACCCCCTGTCCCAGTCCAGAGCCTACACTCAAACTCCATCCCAGAGCCTGCACCCCTCACCCCCTCCTGCACCCCCACCCCCTGCCCCAGCCCAGAGCCTGCACCCAGCACCCAAACTCCATCCCAGAGCCTGCACCCTGCATCCCTCTTGCACCCTAACCCCCAGCCCAGGGCCTGCACCCCAGACCTCCTCCCCCCACCCAAATTCCCTCCCAGAGTCTTAGGCAGGTGGGGGGCAGAGTTTGGGGAGGCAGGTTGTGGGCACCACCAAAATTTCTACAAACCTGCCACCCATGAATGGGAGTGTTGCAGGGTAGTTACCCCACTCCTGCCCTGAAGGGCTTAAAACAGCCCTGGGAGTGGGCTGTGGCAGGGGAAAGGCTGGGCTGATTGGAAAGCAGGCACAGCTGTGGCTGGCTTAATGCGGGCCCAGCTGGCCCTTATAAGAGGGCTGGAGGCAGAAACCAAGACAGGCTTTCTCTAGCTTTGGGATAGACTGACTAGGCTGCAGGGAGATAAGAGAAGGTAGCTGGAGTGGAGCAGGGCTGGGGGAAGGCAAGGGACCTGTGGAGCTCTGGCCTGGAAACCCCCCAGCTGTAGCCTAAAGGAAGGTCAATTAGGTACTGGAGGTTGCAGGGGGGCAGCCCATGGGTAGGCAGAGACAGTAGGTCCAAACCCCCCCTGCCTATGATGAGTGGCTTTTACACTGCCATCTGCCCCAGGGAGCGGGGGTTAGATGGTGACTAGCAGTAGCCCATGACTGGGGCAAGGTGGAGATAGAGGGTTGGGGGTTCCCCTGGGTGGGGAGACCGTGATACTGCAGGGGTATTGCAAGGAGGCAGCATCCTGGCCTGAAAGGGGCACCAGGGTCTGGAGGCTGGACATGCTAATTCCCTGGATGACCAGCAGGAGGTGCTGCAGGGGTGAGTCGTGCACTGTGACGAGGCAGATAAATTCTTAGGGTTTGATTGAATCTTAAACAGTCATCTGATCTTGTTCATTTCTGGGAGCATAAGGCCCCAAAACCTTGTCAGGTTTCTGCCCCAGACCTTACCCCTGATTCAGCCCCAAAGGCAAATTTTACAATCCAAATCGAATTCCGAACCCTGTCTCTGCGCTCTCCTCATGGAAAAAGACTCTGCAGATCCAAATCACGGTTTTACCATAATCCACTCCAGGTTCGCAGGCTTCCTCCATTCGTCTGTTCAGGGTGAGGGGACCCTCTATCTTCTGCTGCATGAAGCAGCTTTCTATGGGGAAGGTAGATGAGTAGAGACTCACCAAGGGAGACCATAGTTTCAGCTCTGTTATTAGTGACCCACAGGTGCCATCTATTTGAATCCTGGGTGAGCCGTGCTAACCCACACAGTGACAGGCCCAACTCCTCTGACAAGGGAGTGGCCATGAAGCCAACCACCCATCATGTTATGGGGCATAGATGCCGATGCTGTGGGTGCTCTGGGGCTCAAGTACCCATGGAAAAAAAAATAGGGAGTGCTCAGCACCCGCCTGACAGCCGGGCTACAGCAAGTTCCCTACTGAACAACGGCCCCACCAGTGGGTCTCCACCCTCTTCTAGAGGATCCCTTCCTAAGAGTCAGTGGGGAGTGGAGCCTCCATGGCTCATTCAATACTTGGCCTCTGTGCTGAAACTGACAGCGGGAGGCTGAGGGGTGCCAGCTGTGGGCATCCTGGAATGAGAGGACCCAGATATTTTAAAGTGCCAGACTTTGTGTCACCCCCCCACCGATTGGACTCCACGGATCAGCTGGCTTGGCTCAGCCCCCAAGGCCCTGATGGGCAGGGCAGAGAGGAGGAACTGACGTCTCCAATACCCGCTCCCTCCCAGCTAGCTAGAGAAATTCTGCTTGTAGGTCCTGCTGCCAGCTCTCCTGCGATTGGTGGGTGGGGTTGCCATGGGAGAAGGGAGGGACCACAGGTGAGGGTAGGTGGTCAGGAGGGTGGAAACCATCTGTGAATGCCGGGGAGGAGGGATAGGAGAGGGAGTGAAGAAAGATATCGAGACTCTGCGGGGGTGAGGGACAGGCTTCAGGCTGGGAAGTTGGGTCCTGGGGGTTACTACCTCCTCCAAGGCCCATTCCAGCCCCTCTGGGTTCCGTTCCCTGGCCCGATCCCAGGCCCTGCAGTCCCTTCTGGGTCCTCTCTTGCCTCCCATCCCCAGGCATGCATGAGTTAATGCGGGGGTGCATCCCGCACATATTTCCACTGAGGGTGCCCTCACCCCGACCCTGGTCCCACCATTCCTGTATGTGGTGGTGTGTAGCAGGGACACAGCCGGCCAAGAGTCAGAGCTCCAGGCTGGGGGACAGACCCAAGGACCATCCTGCCTGTGTCTGCTGTGAGCCTGTATTGCACGTGAGAATCACCCAGAGCCCACAGGGAAGGAGGTCCCTGATCGGTGACTGAGGGGGCTGATGCTGGGGGTCCCTGGGACTGCATGTTTGCTGGTAAAGCTGACAGGGGAGCCCCCACCAGAGATTGGTAAACAGAGACAGGACTCTCCTTACCTTCTGCACACCGGCAGACACCCCCGTGACAGATCATATTGAAGAGCCCGCTCTCGTTAGATGGGTGGTAGAACTTGGTGCATCGGTCATCTAGAGAAAGATCAAAGACACTGATCATTCCCCCTCCCGCAGAACAACGGCCATAGTTTCAGCACCTAGGAGACAACCCCGAAGCCCTACTCAAGCGGAAGTCCCACTGGGTGACCCTGGGGAAGGGAGCAGCAGTCTGTGGGAACGACTTTCTTAGCTACAGGAAACCATCAACTTGAAATGCTGGGCTGGTGCTTGTTGGAGACACCCTCTTAATCAAGCTAGCAGCAAATTCACCTCTGGAGGTAAAACGGGGGGAGAGGGCAAGTAGGATAATTATTGCCTGTAGTCAGAGGTTCCCCTTATTTTGTCTACCTTTGCTTGGGTGTGTTAAGGCGATGAGCATGACCACATATTTCCAGCATGGGGTCATGTTGGAACAGGAGGAACTGGGGGGTGGGCAGGAAGTCAGACTAGATGATCATGATGGTCCCGTCTGGTCTTAAAGTCTGAGTCTAAAACCCCTGTGTTCTAGTCCAGTAGTTCTCAACCAGGGTGACACATACCCCTAGGGGTACGCACAGGTCTTCCACGGGGTATGTTAACTTATCTAGATATTTGCCTAGTTTTACAACAGGCTCTAGAGCCCTGCAGTGGGACTGAGATCCCGCAGGACCCACTGGCATAATAGTGGGATAAAAATTCAACAAACAATGCAAGAGTGAGTGGGAGTAGATATTGTGGGGCTGGATGGGAGCAGGATTGAAAACATAGTCCTCATTAACCGCCAAAAGTATGAACGCCTCAGCCAGCAACTCCCGCTCTCTGGCCTCTCCGCTCCGAAGGCAGCGCTCCCACCAGTGGCAACTCATGCCACCTTAACTTCTGCGCTGCTGCTGGCGGGGTGCTGCCTTGAGAGCTGGGAACCTGGCAAGCAGCAGCCGCTCTCCAGCTACCGAATGACAAGGCTCACAAGTGAAAACAGGCTCACGTCTCACACTGAAATGTAAGTACAATATTTATATTCCAATTGATTTATTTTATAATTATATGGTAAAAAATGAGGAAGTCAGCAATTTGTCAGTACTAGTGTGGCTGGGACACTTTTGTATTTTTATGTCTGATTTTTGTAAGCAAGTCATTTTTAAGTGAGGTGAAACTTGGGGTACGCACGACAAATCTGACTCCTGAAAGGGGTACAGTAATCTGGAAAAGTCGGGAGGGGAGCGTGAGCTAGTGTAGAGCAGGAGATTGGGATTCAGGATGCCTGGGTTCTATTTCCAGTGCATCCCCTCTGTTACACAGGGATAATGATGCCTAAGTACTGTAGCAAAAGACTGCAAGATGTAATGATACCAATGTAACCCAGAGCAGAATTTGAAGCCATGGTGCCTTGAATGGTGAGGAGAGCTGCGATCTGTTACCTATGGTGTAATAGTCGTAGACTGTGACGGATGCCGGCTGAATGAGACCAACTTCGAAAAACTGGTGAGCTTTAAACTGCAGGCATTCCTCCTCTTTGTGAGAAACCTGGGGAGTGGGGGGGGGGGAAATAACAGGATTGCTTAGGCTGACGGGTGCCTGGATGGAAGAAAGAGAATGAAAAAGAATAAAAGAAAGGGAGAAGTTGGGGAAAGAAGAGGGGAAAGAGAAAGTGAGGGAGGTGGAGGAAAGAAGAACTAGATAAGTGAAAGGAGCAAGGGAAGAAGTGAATGACACAGAAGAAAATTCAGCCTTAATACCAGATGCTGCGTTTCCCACTAAAATCAATGGACCTACATCCACATACACCAGCTGAGGATCTGGCCCATTC